CCCCAAAACCCCAAAACCCCAAAACCCCTAAAGTTTTTAACTTTGTTGGAATAGCGATTAAAAGTTGAATATGGGTTGTCACCGTTTAAAATTTTAGGTTGGTTGTTTGGAAAGAGTTCAGACGCATGTTTTGCATCCGTCTCTTTAGAAGAGGATTTCCTCCAAGCTTTAGTTGAGCTGAGGAGTTATTTCTCTAAATTAAGGGTTAGGTTTTTGCAAAAAGTTTGCTTCATTAAGTAACTAACAACAAACTAAGTTATTCAGTTCTCTACATATCCATACTTAGGCGAGCCTCGAAGTAATAAAGCCAAGTCTTCAAGATCCAATGCTTTTACCTTTTTGATGTCCTTTATATAATCAACTTCAGTAGGAAATACTTGATGCACCCCCATAAAGTCAAGGAACTGATTTATACTGTTCTCCTTGGCTCCTCTTGGAAAGATATATACTGGCCGAGGTAGTATGAACTTGGTTGAACACTTTTTATACATATCCTAAAGTTTGATCAGTCCTTAACCTACCTTCTGCATGCGTTGTAGAAAAGGCGAATCTTCCTTTGGTGAAGGCACCTCTTTGATACTCGAGAAAGTAGTAAAGTCTATAGAACAGTTTGAGCCATTTTGAAGGGAATTTAAACTTTAAGATTTGATGTAAATTTTAATTTGAGAAATGTAAACTGGCTTTCAATTAAAAGTTTGAAGACAAGATTCATTATCCAAGACTATTCAGTTTATTTTGTACTGATTTAGCTCTATAAAATTACTCTCGATGATTATCTTTTAAGAAATATAAAGGCTCATTGTTCAAGTCCTAATTTTTAGAAAATTTGAAGTACTATAAACCGAGAAATCATGAAAGTGCTAAAGCTTTAACACTATTCTCAAATTTTAAGGTCTGAGTTTAAGTTGAATGATAAGAAGAGGGATGAAATTCTGATGATAAACTTTTAAGCAACTTGTCTCTATATCTCTACTTTCAATCACAAAATTATTCTGGAGCAATTAAAATCTGATATTTTTAGTCTTCGAAAGATTTAGCAAGCCATCTTTATGTTATGGGTGTATGGATCAGGAAGAGAGACTCTGAAACTGATTTGTTAATGATCAGTCCTGCTAGTAGATATGCTACTTAGATACTAACTCGAGCTTAGAATTAAGACTCTTGGAGGTATTGGTGGGCATTCAAGCAGCCTCAACTGAATTCCCAAAAAAAATCGAAATGAGAATTTTAGCTCAAAGCCTTGGTTGTTGGGATATTTCTAAATACGTCTCTGAAGGAGTATCTCTACTAGTAATCTCATAGATATGCTGGCTCACATCTCAACATCAAGTCTCTTCAGAGTCTTAATGTAACATCAAATCCTTGGTTTTTCAAGTTATTTCAGTAAATTAGGAATAATAAAGTTCTTGAATAATTATAACTAAAATCTCCAGTTTGTGCCTACCTTTATTATCATGATCTGAAGAGCACTTGTAACATTTGTGGGTCTTCATTCCCTATGTTTGATGATTAGTTGATTATTGATCAGGAGAGATCCATTCAAAGGTCCTTGCAATAGTTATATATGTAGCTTAGCTTAGCCTTTATGAAAAGAGTTGTCAAAATTATGAGCCCATGAAGATGACCTCTGATACATATTTAGATGTATTGAAAAATTCAGAGAGTGAGATAAAAAGGTGAAAGCTTTACCTTGATTTTCTTCCTATTTTTCTTCACAGGTAAGCATTTATCAGAATCTCACTTAGTTGATTCACTAACATCTGAAAGACCATCAGACTTCATATCAGCTCTTTCCTCAAAAATCACAACTTTCTTGTCAAAATCTCAAGCTGTCTCCATTTTATTATTTCTACTAATCAATAAACCTACTCTATAAAGGGGTTTTGGGGTTTTGGGGTTTTGGGGTTTTGGGGTTTTGACAAGAAA